TCCAAGCAGCTGACTCGTTGTCAAGAAGCCCTCTGCCACAGCGGCAAGACAGAGAAATGCAAGAAGAAATCGATTGCTTCATTCGACACATAGAGACGTCCCTACCAGCAACGCAAACGAGTCTCCAATGGATAACGGCAGAACAGAACAAAGACCCTGTTTGCCAAAGACTCGCCAGCTACAGCCATAAAGGTTGGCCAAATCGTCGAGATCTCGGAACAGACCTCAAAGAGTACTACGAGTACCGTCATCACATTGCCGTGCAAAACAGCCTTCTCATGAATGGTTATAGAATAGTGGTACCAGAATCCTGCCGTCCACATATCCTGCAACAACTTCATGAAGGACACATGGGCATAGGCAAATGCAAAGCACGGGCAAATGTATCGGTATGGTGGCCGAGGATAAACGATCATATCGAGCGCCTGGTCAAGAACTGCGAAAAGTGCATTAAAACTGGCCAGAACCGAAAGCTCCCCCTCATCCCGTCAGAGTTTCCTAGTCGACCGTGGGAGAGAGTGGCGATGGACCTCTTCTTCATTCACGGGAAATGGTGGCTGGTCGTCGTCGACTACTACTCTCGCTACCCCGAAATCGCTCGACTGGAAAGCCTCACAGCAGCGTGCGTAATAATGCACTGCAAATCGATATTTGCGAGGCATGGCATCCCAGAAGTAGTGGTGTCTGATAATGGTCCTCAGTTTGCGGGAACCACAGGTTCAGCATTCACCAAGTTCTCACAGACCTACGGGTTTAAGCACATCACATCAAGCCCTCGCTACGCGCAGAGCAATGGGATGGCGGAGGCTGCAGTGAAGATCATAAAGAGATCACTCAGCAAAACGGAAGATCCGTACGAGACACTCATGATCTACCGTTCAACGCCTCTGCCCAACGGATACAGTCCGACAGAACTTCTCATGGGGAGAAGGATGCGTACAACCGTACCGATCGCCACTCAGCTCCTGGAACCAAAGCTACCCGACCAAAAAGAACTGCGTCGCTATGAGCAAGAAAACAGGAACCGACAAAAGCAATACTTCGACCGGCGACACGGAGTGCGTCAACTCGATCCACTCGGCTCTGGACAGCGAGTTTGGGTCATTGACCTCAAGCGAACCGGAGTTGTTCAGAACAAGGCCCATACACCACGATCTTACTGGATAACGTCCGAGGGTCAAGAGATCCGAAGAAATCGCACGCATTTAATTCCTTTCCCCGATCAACAAGATAAACAAGGCATCGAAGAGTTCCCCGAAACAACCACGAGGCCCGAAGAAATGTGTGCCGACACCTCCCACAAACATTCTCGGCACGGCCGGTGTGTAAAAGAGCCAGACCGTTTCGGCACTTCTTCGAAGCTCCCTTAGAAAGAGGGATGTTATGGAGGTCGCCGACGCGCCGACGCTAGCGAGCTCCAAAGTCCAAGGCGACCGAGAAGAACCGTTCGCGCGCAGCCCGAGATCTAAACATCCGTTCGTCCGCTTCGCGCGTAACCTGAGCGCCCCGTACCAGAGGCGCCTTTCTTTTATTTCGTTTTAGATTTAATAAACGAGACGTCAGTCTTCAGCCTGACTCCGGCACGAAAGGTTGTCCATGTGTGCCCTTCGTAAAAGAACGTAAAACGAAACACAACCTAAGCCCTGGGCCTCGGTACCTCGGAGGCGGCAGCTTTTAGCTTTGACTGGGCTACCCCCTTGGAGCCTGATGTTTCGACCCCAGTGAGCGACAGCACCATTATGCTCCTGGGGTTCCTTTGTGCAACTGTGCACCGATCGAACGGCAGGCTGCAGATCCCCTTGGTCCGCTGCTGACTCGCCTCAACGACATATGGACATCTTCCAATCAGACTGACATCCTCCGTAATAGCAACATTTAAAGGGGCGATGCAACGATTTTTGTATTTTGCGCAAATACCGCTTAGAACGGATCCCTGACGTTAATGACCTGTGAAACACGCGTTCGTTTTTCACCACACGCAATCGAAGTCGCAGGAAAAAAATAAAGAAAAGCGAGCAGAGTTCATCCCCTCAACTCGCAGCCAGAACAAGCGGCCACGTGATCTGGAGCCAATTATATGCCGCCAATGTTGATCATAGCCATGCGCGGAGGTTGGCAAGGCACAGGACACGCGCTGCGTTCCAGACATTGTTAGGGTTCGGCTGTTGTCATCATTGCAGCGATTGGACACAGGACACTACCCGAATGCTTCTCGAGCTATAGATTATCACGAGCCCAAATCGAGTGCCCACGCTATGCTCGGGTCCATTCTATGAACCGCATTCAAATATCGTCACTGGGCGGTACTGCTACCGCCCAGCTACGTCATCAAGTTTTGCGAAGGAGAGATTGAATGAAAACGCTCGGTTTTGTCCTCGAAATTACAGCGCCACAAAAAAAGTTTTTTGGTTAGTGGCGTTGCGTGCGAGTGTCGTTGAGTCCCACTAGTGCCAGTAAGCTCGTGTAAGTGAAAAACATTCCAATTGAATATCGTTGCACCGCCCCTTTAAGCGTGTTTCACATGCAGCGATGTTGGCCCCAGAGCGGCGCGATTTCTGCCGTCGCGGAGCTCGTGCCGCTCAACCGCTGGTGCTGGCCAGAGCGCCGCGACGGCAGAAATCGCGCCGCTCTACGGCCAAAACCGCTGCATGTAAAACACGCTTTAGGGGTGTAGCGAACTTTTGTCAACCGGATTTTTAGGTCGAACTTTAGGGGTTCGACTTGTTCGAACCGGTTCGACGAACCCTCGACCTTTTAACCAGATTCGACCGGTTTGACTTTGTGAACAGTGTGGCCATCATTTTTTTTTTTTTTTTGATGCAAAGGGTTATATTAAATTTATGAACAGTTGCAAATAAAGGAAACTAATTATAATCACTGAAGAAGTTAATAATTAAATTTTTGTACTGTATTAACTGAAATAACCAATCAGTTCTGCAATTAATTCATCCCTTAGCTATCACCATCCAATCCGAAGCCAACTGGACAGCCTGTCACGCGTGTGCATAGCAGTCGAACCTCAGCCGAACCTTTGTCAAACTTTTCACAAGAAGTTAAAAAAAGTCCAATCTGGTCGAACTCGAGCCTCGATTGGTTCGCAACACTCCTAGCAACAATCCATGTCGTCGTCATCTTGCATGTATATACGCCTCGCAAGTGGGCTCATTTTTGCTTTCTGCGCATGAGAAAGGAAGTAGCAGTGACGTCAGAACGCCGAGCCCTGATTGGCTGATCGCGACCCCCTATCTGAGCGTCGTCTGCTCCTTTGCAACGTCGTCTGCTCGCAACGTCGTCTGCGTCTGTCTTACATTTTCTGCGGCTTTCGGAAGTCGAGCGAGCTCGACTTCGCCTTTCAGAGAGGGCAGACGAAATAACTCGAGCGGTACGTTGTTTTTGTCTAACAACTAGCAGACGCGCATCAAGGAGAGAAGTCAAAGGACTCACTGGCGAGGTGTCCCGAGGCGCCGAGCTTTGTTTGCTAAGAACCGAGAGTGAGCGTGTTAGCGTCCGCAAGTTCCCTCCCAAATACTTTTTCCCTCCTTTCGTGTGCGGCGAGACTCCTCACTCTTTAACGGCGTCGGCGGGTTGGCGCAGTTAACGTCGTCTGCTTTACGTCTGCTAGTCAAAGCGATGGCTGCTTTACCTTTCCTGCGTCAGTCGGAGATTCACCGCTTTTTTACCGGCGAGAGTCACCGTTGCCTCGGAAAACAAGGATATGACAAGAGGAAGAGATTGACCTCTTAATCTAAAATTGAGGTCAGCGATAAAAGTATAAGCCGGGAAGGGTTCACAAGGGTCGCGCGGGCATATTCCATTCAGCACGCCAGCCGGTCGTGGGCAGACGGTCGCCGAGTCGGAGTGCCTGCTAGGCCTATCTGCCGAGATCGCTTGGTCGTTGTCGGTGGAATCGTGGCCGTTGGAGCTTTTCCCGGGTGTTTGTGAATCCAGCGTACTTGTTCGTTGTGGTCTGTTTCAAGTACTTTTTACTTTTTTCTTGCTGCTTGACGTCGGGACGCGTGAGAAGCGCACGTAGAAAAATAAACGTCCGTTGGTCGTCGCGACCGCGACGCTGTCGGCCATGCTGATTTGATCGTAAGAAGTGCGTAAGACAGCTTCGGAGCTGTCGTAGGATTTCGTCGTAACCTGTGCAAAACAAGATCGTTTTGTGAGCCTGGCCTCTGGCCTCTGCTTTTCCGAAAGTCGCAGGAAAGGTAAGACAGACGCAGAAAACGTTGCGAGCAGACGACGCTCAGATAGGGGGTCGCTATCAGCCAATCAGGGCTCGGCGTTCTGACGTCACCGCTACCCCCTGCGCAAAGAGCAGACGAACTTGCCCTCCGCATACTCATCGCATTATCATATTCATTAGACGCGGCACCGTGGGCCTCCGTGGTACGGGCTGTTGCCTTTCCGCGGTGCCGCGGCTCTCCAGAGCCAAATAAAGACATTACGTTACATTACATTACTCAGTTTACTCTGGTTCGGAACGCGCGTCGTTCGTTTATTCTACCGTTGAATATGGACGTGGCAAAAATCTCACATGCGCCAAGTTTTCAGTCACCAAGAGTTACACTTTTCTTACTCTAGCGACGCTGAAACGCCTTAAATTAGTCGAGTCGCAATTTTAGAGGGCACACGACCATCAAGGAGCTGTGGTTGGCAACGAGATGCTCGCCTATTCAAACCAATAAATGGCTAAACTCTCCCAATATACGGCTGTGCACTTTCCTGTAATGCTGCGCCATCTCGCGGCATGTGTCAGAAATAAGAGCGAATCTTCGTTAGGCGCTGCCGTTCAGATCAGCGTTGGTTCAGACGCTCTTCTCGTCTTCGCTAGAAGTCCTATCACGCATTCTGTGCTTATCAGTTCTTGTCAGCATGATCAAGCTTGCATAATTGTTTTAACCTACAACAAATTATAGTTATCGAGCACATTTCTGTAAGATTACGACATTTTCGTTATTCTCTTTTTGCGTCAATTGGCTGTTGAGTTCTCTCACCTCGGCGGGCAGCCATGTGGAGAGCGTCTCTTACGGATCTTCCTCGCTCCGTACGCGGCGACTTGCGGGCTTGGGCAGTGCCGAACACGAACCTATTTGGATGCCGAGGTTTCTGTAGAGCCGGAGAGCTTTCGCTGCTCCGGTCTTGGGTGGCTATAAATAAATATGACGTGGAAACAGGCATTATAGGCATTCCTGAATTGCAACCAATCACTTGTGGCTTTCGGGTTAAAAAAAAACAAAAAACAGAAGGAGTATATGCAACTTCCGACCAATATCCGCTGGAGGCGTCCGCCATTAAATTGCAAAAGCTCCCTATGGTCTGCGATGATCCGCCTCTTCAATCTAAGATATATCTAGCGTATAGGTCTGAGGCTACAGCGACTCCACGCGCCGTCGTTTGCAGCGATCCGTGTGCGACATGCGCAAAGGTGCGACTTAAATATAGCAACTTTTTTTCCTAGGAAACGGTGCGACTTATATACTGATGGATACGCTACTTGCATGTGAATAATACAGAGAGGATACGTAAATTTCCAAATGCTGCTGTAGCAACCATTGTTTATTAACCAGATAACAAGCTTGAGCTGCTTACCGCGTGTCTATGTTTCGTAAATTGTGTGCCTTTAAACTGCAATGCCAGTCACAAGTACAGTCAACACGGGAGGTAGGATATGTCGGCATGTGTAACTAACAGAAGAAGCATTTAAATAACAATGCAATAACGTACTATGTCAGGTCGCTCAGACGCACATAAAATATTGGATGACGCCCGATAATGATTGCCATGGCATAAATTAACTCGGAAGTGGGACAGGTGAGTATTTCTTTTCTTCATGTATTACACTGTAACGCATTGTCTCGTTTTATTTCTTTTTCAGTTAAGCAACATACTTAACCCAAAAAGTAATCATCATAGTATTGTTTTGCTCTGTTTTATATTTTGGCAACTTCATGGAGTGACTCGGGATCGAATGGTGAGTTCGTGGGAGTTGTGGCAATAACAAGGTGGCTGGGGCCACGTCCCGTGCTCAGTAACCTGTCCCCGACTACAAGGAGCGGTTGCATGACAGGGGCTCTAGACTCGTCCAACACGAGGTTGGAGCCGAAAGTTCGCGGAGAGTACCGATTGGACTTGGGCTACAAAAGCGCGGCGTTATCGTCGCGAGAGTTCAATCGACGCGCTTTGTAAGCTTCGGCACAAACCTCGCGATTTACGAGTTTAGGGCCCCAGGAAAATAATATATATATATATATACCCCAGCCAACCTGAGCAGAAGTTCGAGTCGTCCCTGGAAGGCGTTGGCGACGCCGAAGCAGAAAGTGTGCGGATCGCACGTGGTGACTGACCTGGGACCACTGTGGGCCAAAGAAATAAAAGTGGAAATAAAAAACATTTACCGAACTTTTTTTTTTTTTTATCTGAAAATACAAAAACAAAGTTTCTTAAATGAAAAAAAAAAATAATAATAATCATCGGGATAGCGTTATCAATCTCGGAAGACATCAATGTATGAGTGCGGCAAAATAGTTATACTGGAAAAAAAATTGACCAATTGGTCTTTCAACTGGGGTCATTCCGGTTGTTGCGGGACAGTGAACGGTGGTCGCCGTTCAGGCACCGGGCTGCACTTTTACAAAATCTGGAGGGTCTCTATATACTTCCCCGCAAAACGGTTGGGAGGGCCAATCGCTGCAATCGACGGACGGAGTTCAGCGAATGTTTTGGCTGAAAATGCCTTGAGGTCAAAAAGGCACTACGCATAACGTACGTAAACAACTGAAACGTTATGCCGTCTGCACCGTAACCCGAAGAGCGGTTATTTTATGTACAAACATGCTATGAGCTTCTCGCTTTTTCTCCTCCTTAGATAATAGTGGTTCCGAGTGCTTTGTGGGAAAGCACGCGTAGTCGCGTGGGAAAGAAAGAGAAATAAGTGGTGTATGAACCAACACAGTGTTTACAAACAAGCCCGGCAGTGCCCACATCAGACGTGGGCAATGCGCGTGCGCAGATACCAGATTCATGTGGGGGGGGGGGGGGGGGGGGGATGTTCGGGAGGAATGTTTGTGGTGTAGAAAATGCTCAAATGAATAAAAGAGTCGATATTTTTTTCATTCATGCTTATTTGATGGGATGCGGAACTTGATCTCCGATATATAGAGAACGCATACTTCGAAACATTTGTGGGGTGAAGGATGGCAATTTCAAGGCAAAGTATAACAAACTATCCTCACTGAAATACATAAAATACAATAATTCACACCTAAATAAATGCAAAATATGTCAAACTAAAATGAGCATAATAAAATGCACACATGGTGATTATATAAACCCATGTCAGTGATCTAAGAAATATTAAATTAATAGTAAAAAAACAATTGCACTGTAAGCAACGGCAGGGTGGCGCTGTGCTCACGCACACCTTGAGTACTGTTCAGAATTACGTGCTTTCGACTAGAAATTAGCGCAAATAAAAAAAGTAACTGTGACTAGTTATTTCAAAAACCTACAAAACAAATTCTTGATCACTTCTTTTATGCCAAGCGCCTACATATTAAGATGCAGCCGCCTGCGTTCACGGCAAATAATACCAACCATGTCCAACTTTTGAACTTCAATGTCGCGGGGAACATTCAAAAACACTGAACCGAGCAGTCGCTCATTCGAAGTGGACGCTCTCAGGTATGTTTTCAACCGTCGTAGTGAAAAGAACGAGCGCTCAGCCACCTCCTTTGTTACGCGCAGAGTCGCTAGGATATTGAGAAGAAGATAGACGTTTGGGAATAGGGCCTTCGCACTGAGGGCGACCGCCTGTAGCGCAGACGTGACGGCCGTTTCATGTTATTCCCTCTTTCACTGGACGCCTAAAATTTTCCTATTTTTTGGCGAAGTTTCCCTCACTTCGTGAAATTTCCCTCTCCATCGAGACGCCCGTCTCGATGGTCGCTCACGGATGCGATGAGGTCCGTCCTGCTTTCTGCTTTGCATGTCGAGGTGGCATCCGATGCAATTCCTTATTAGATTAATCTTTTCGTTGCACGGAACATAAGAAAATTCGAAGAGCCTTCATATTCTCACTACGCATAGGCGCAAGGGTATTCAAGTTCGTTTCTACGTTTGGCGTTTGTTTTGCGTGTTTCTGTTTGGTGTGTGATGTCATTTCTCCGAGCATCAGAACGACGAGTTCGACTGACGACTTCTAATCACCACGATGATATGCCGCTGCTGCCTTTGGACCACAGTGCAAGATAAAGCGGCCTAGCAAAAATAAGACTCTTTTTCCTTGTTAAACCTTTAATAGATGATAGATTTTGGTTTTGTGATTGTTCAGCATTACCCTCGCCCTATATATGGGCCCTTAGTGTTTGTGCGAGGACTGTTGCTCCGATTTTTAGCGACAAGTTTTTTTTAAACTTTTTTTGACAGTATAGCTTGCCGGTAACAGCCAGGCGGCGCCAGTAGAGTGACAGCCCAAGGTTATACCCTGCCTCGGTGTAACTTGGCAAAGGGTGAACGATAAGCCCCCCTGGCGTGCCGACGGCTTTGTTATCCGCTATCTATACTAGCACAACGCACACATATTGGAGCATGACGCAGCGAAAAGCCTGATACTTCTTCGCAGTAAAAGCGCACTCCGGTGATACGTATTCACGTTCCGATTGACCCGTCAGGCTGCAGCTTCCGCGGTACTTGCATGTTATGCGATCACGGCTTCCTGGCCTACCTAGTATTTCTTGCTTCAGACACTGTAGGCTGATACTGGCCATCAAAGAGAGCAAAAACCCGATGCCGGCCAGTCACTGTAACTTCTACGGCTGAACTGGCCAGTGAGCAAGACAAAACCCCGACGCCGGCCGGGGCCGGTAGCACACAGGCACCCATGGCCGGGCGCCGCCATCCTGTCACCATGGGCCGGCCGGCGTAGTCCCGGTACCGGCCTACGCGGTCTGCTACCTGCATCTATATGTTGACTGGCACCATATAGTGCCAAATACAGGAGTATCAGGCATCCTATACTGTTATATATGACAGTCCCTGGCACCATATATGACTTTATTTGGAAATATATTTCGACATATATGGTGTCACCTTACCATATTTGCTCTGATTTCAGCTCTTGTATGGCAATACATGACCTTATATGTCTACTTATATGCCCATATACGGCCCTATATAATATATATATCTGGGTCATATATGACATTTCTGTAAGGGTTGCGGCGCCACCAGAGTAATAGCTCACGTTTGAACAATGCTGCTGCCACTTCCAGGCATACCCAGTGTTTCTTAGTTCAGTCGCTAGATAGTGCTGAACCAAACAGAATTGCAGGCGGCCTATAAACCAGTGTCCGAAATCCTAGCCCCCAGCGAGAAAAATGTGAAATAATAATCTCAAGCGCAGGCTCTTGTAATGAGGAGGACTGCACATAAACAGGGTTTTTGCTCTTTCATTTCATTCAATTCATTTATTATGTCTCTCAGGGCCCGAAGGCATTACAGAGAGGAGTGGGGCTCAGTAAATAGAACAAAGCAAATAACAATGAAAATGCAAAAACTACAGAAAATAACTACTAAACATCATTTAACAGGTTTGTAATGGCACTGTACATGGAATAAAACAAATATCGATGAAAAGGCAAACAATACACAAACTTACTACTAAACACTATGCAACAGGTTAGTAATGGCAATCTTAAATTTATCTGAGGCAGTGATTGTGACAATAGCTGCGGGAAGGCGGTTCCAGTTAATCGAGGTTTGAGGCAAAAAAAAGCATTAAAGGTAGATGTGCTGCCATGAGGGATCACAACTTTTAGTTGATGATCGCCGCGTGATGATATGTTAAATGGTTCAGAAAAGGGTACTTGGCGGAGAGTAGGGTTAGAGTGATAAATCTTATGTAACAGGCATAGGCGGGATATCTTTCGACGAAGAGAAAGAGTGGGAAGGATGGCTTCCATTAAAGTGGTGCTAGCTGTGCGGTGATAGAAAGCAAAAAACGGGCGGAGCGATTTTGAATAAATTCTACGGCAGATGCAAGGGTGATACCAGGGTTTCAGATTGATGCGGCATATTTTAGAGATGGCTTTGATTAAAGTGGTGCTAGCTGTGCGGTGATAGTTAGAAAGCATAAAACGGGCGGCGCGATTTTGAATAAATTCTACGGCAGATGCGAGGGTGATACCAGGGTTTCAGATTGATGCGGCATATTCAAGTTTAGGGCGAATCAAGGTTTTATAAATGAAAAGCTTTAATGAAAGAGGCACTTTCGCAATCGGTGTTGTTCTTGGAGCTTCGTGACTATGCCTTTCCGTCGTTCTTGCACTACGATATGTGCGAAGGTTTAAAAAAAATATGGAGTCCCGCAAAAAGCACAGCACCCCCCCCCCCCCTTTCACTCCCCGCTTACCGTGTCGTTGCGTTCAATCAATCAATCATTTTATTTGCGCCTGTACACGAGTACAGGCACTGGAGGCATGAACAAAAAGCCGACTGATGTCGGCTTGACAAGGTTCACGCCCCCTTTTTTGGCAAACGGCAAGCAATCGAAAGATAAAGAAAAAGAAAAAAAAAAGTCAGATGCTTAATAAAAAAAAAATCACCGTAACAATAGCCAAAATACACGTTTAAAATTGGGCTATAGATTACAATGTCAAGGGAAAAAAATACACTCTATATGCTAAAATACAATTGTATGACATAAATATTCATAGAAACATCAGTTTTAAGGAATGAGATGCTAAATGTTCGATGATAATGTTATTTTCAATTAAATGGTTTAGTAAAAAAGGTAGGCGATGTTTTAGCATTTGAGTTCCATAGGTTGTTCGACTGAATGGTATCCTCCATACTTCTTCGTGACGTACGTTATAAGGTCTAATATTTATTGTTACTTCTGCTATGTTACTAATGTCAGGCGTCTTTTGTTTAATACTTGCTATATATCGAATAAGTAAAGTGTACTCGTACAGTTTGTTTAAGAATAGGACGTTCAATGATTTAAGCAATGGTTTCGTGTGGGTTGATTCTGGTACATTGATTATAGCTCGAATTGCCTTCTTTTGAAGAATCGTTAATTTGTCCAAGTTAGTTGTAGTTGATGTGCCCCAGACCAAGTGATTATAATTCAAATGTGACATGAATAAAGAATTGTTAATGAGAAGCTTAATTTTGACTGGCAAACTTGAACGGAACTTGTTGAGAATGCCAACAACACTTGAAATTTTTTTTTTATTACACTTTGAATGTGGGTGTCCCATGACATGTTTTCATTAAACATTACACCTAAGGTTTTTACATTCCGGACGACTTCAATGATAGAGGGGCCAAGTTTCAGGCGCAAGTCAATAT